TTGATTGTGAACTCTTTTGGCTGCCAGGGAGCTTAGAGACAAGTTTGTAGCTTGTCATCAGCAACTGTACAGGACTGTGAAGGTTTGCATTTTATGTATGCATTGAAGATAACTGAAAGAAGAAGTCCACGATGCACTGAAGGAATTAACAAAGAACAAGGCACTGGGAATTGATGGAATACAAATTGAAATCTTTCAGCAAAGTGATGCAGCGCTGGAGGTATTCACTCATCTATGTAAAAAATTTGGCCAAATGACTGGAAGAGATCCATATTTGTGCCTATTCCAAGGGGAGGTGATCCAACAGAATGCGGAAATCATTGGACAATATCATTACTATCATGTGCAAGTAAAATTTTGCTAAAGTAAGTAAAAAATGGCTGCAACCATACATTTCCAGAGGTTCAAACCAGAGTCAGAAGAAGACGTGGAATAAGGGATACTATTGCTGACATCAGATAGATCTTGGCTGAAAGAAGAGAATATCAGAAAGATGTTTACCTGTGCTTTGTTGACTATGCAAAGGCTTTTGGTTGTGTGGATCATGACAAGCTATAGACAATATTGTGGAGAATGAGTATTCAGGAACACTTAATTGTGCTCATAGGGTACCCGTACATAGACCAAGAGTTTAATCAGAGCAAGGGAACACTGAATGTTTTAAAATGAGGAAAGGTGTGAACCAGGGTTGTATTCTTTCACCATACTTAATCTGTATGCTGAGCAAATAATCTGAGAAGCTGGATTATATGAAGAAGAGCATGGCATCAAGATTGGAGAAACACTCATTAACACCCTGTGATAATCAGATGATAAAACTTTGCCTGCTTAAAGTGAAGAGGACTTAAAATACTTATTGATGAAGATAAAAAAAACCACAGCCTTCAATATGGGTTGTACCTCAATGTAGACAAAACAAAAATCCTCACCACTAGACCAATAAATAACATCCATATAAATGAAGAAAAGATCAAAGTTTTCATCAACACTCATGGAAGCAGCAGTCAAGAAATCAAATGATGTATTGCATTAGGCAAATCTGCTGCTTTAAAGTGTTGAAGAGTAAAGATGTCAGTTTGAGGATTAAGGTGCATCTGACCCAAGCCATGGTATTTTCAGTAACTTCATATGCATGTGAAAGTTAGTGAATAAGGAAGACCATAGAAGAACTGATGCATCTGAGTTATGGTGTTAGAGGAGAATATTAAAAGAACCATGGATTGCCAGAAGAATAAACCATTATGTGTTAGAAGAAGTACAGTCAGAATGCTTTTTTGGAAGCCAGGATGATCAGACTTATTTTCTCATACTTCGGATTTATTATCAGGAGCGACCAGTCCCTGGAGAAAGATATCATGCTTGGTAAAGTAGAGCGTTGAAAAAGAGGAAGACCTCCAGCGAGATGGATTGGCACAGTGGCAGCAGCAATGGACTCAATGTAGGAATGACTGTGAGGGTGGTGCAGGACTGGGCAGTTTCATTCTGTTGGACGTAGGGTCACTATGAGTCGGTAGTGATTCAATGGCACCTAACAACAACAACAACAACAACAAGCCTTATTATCCTTAGCTGTCTTATGTTCCATTCATATAATTCATTGAACTTATTTATCTAATTTTTGGCATATGCCTTATTTTTTATAAGCAACTCAATATGCTGATTTTATAATCGTTACATACATATTATTGTTGTTAAGTGCTGTTCAGTTGGTTCTAACTCATAGCAACCCTGTATAGGGTTTCTGAGGAGTGGTTAGTGGGTTTGAACTACCAACCTTGTGGTTCAAATTGAACTTACAGCCCAGTGTTTATTTTACAGTGCCATACCATGGCTCCTACATACATATGTTGATGAAATAATATACTGCCTTTGTTTATAAAAGTTACAATGGCACTGTACTGCTTATTGGTTTTTGAGTCTTAGAGTACATTTGGAGTCTAATATTTACTCAAAACAAAAACAGAGCAAAACAAAAACTATGATATTTATTTCAGGCCATGATGGCTCTTTGAGGTTTATGGGAGTGAAGAATGGCAGGTGGAGTGAAACAACACGGGTTGGTGGTAATGATGGGATTAGCCTTTTCATTATGGAGAAACAAAACATGGTGGACACCACACAGACTTGAGTTACATGGGACTGGGTCCATGGCATCTATATGGGGTAAGTCAAAAAGTATCACTACAAAATCATAAATATCTTTATTAAACAATAATATCAAAATGTTTAATACACTGAGAAAGTTATTTTTTTTTTTTCCAGACAGATCCTCCATCTATGTCTATACACTTTTGAAGGGGGTTTCTCCTTTTCTCTAATACTTCCCTGAAGAATACTGCATTTTAAAAAATTTACATCAAGTCAAAACAGCAGTTTTGGCATCCTTGAGGGACTCAAAGTGTATTCCTTTATAAATGTTCTTTAAGTTTAGAGAACTAAAAGAAATCAGAAGGGACAAGACGAGGACTGTAGGGTGGATGGGAGGTTTCTGAATGAAACTCTCCTTGAACAGCCCTTGCTGCCCTTGAAGAATGAGTGGGCGCATTATTGTGATGGGAAAAGCATCCTCGGCACAACTTTCCTGGCCTCTTTCTCACGGATGCAGTTCTCAATTTTCTTAAAACGTCTTTATAATAAGTCCACAATCATCCTGTATCCTCTGTGAAAATTCTGTCAAAAAGAGCCCTTTGGAATTCCCCAAATAGTCACAGTAAATTTTCTGAGCTGACCTCTCTGTGTTGCATTGAACTATCCCATAGATCCCTTTGGAAGCCACTCTTCTGATTGGACTTTATTCCAAAACTAATCCCCACTTCCTGGCATATGGTAATACTCAGTACTCAATAAACATTAGCTCTTAATCAATTGAGTGAATTCAAGCATCAGACTCTTCAGGAGAGGGAAGAGCGAACTATCAACTGCAAAGGCCCAATGTTGTTGTTAGTGACTTTGAGTCAGTTACGGTTCATAGCAACCATCTGGTCCTCAGAAACCCTATACAGACAAGCTATGAGTTGGAACTGACTTGATGGCACTTAACAACAACATATGGTTTTTGAGGAGCAGCTTGTGAGTTTGAACTTCCTACCTTGTTGTTAGCAGTCCAGTGCTTATACTACAGTGCCACACCAGGCAAAGGTAGAATAATGAGGATTAAAGGATAAAGGAGTCAATGAACTGGTGTCATTCAAAGTGTGATTATAATAACCAGACTGGTTAACTTTGTTAAGCTCAACTTCTCATTTGTTAAATGGTTGGTGGTAGTTCTGTGCTGTAGAGTCGGTTTCCTGTATTGTATTTCTGAGGCTGTAAATCTTTATGGGAGCAGGAAGTCTCATCTTTCTCCTGTGGAATAGCTGGTAGTTTCGAACTGCTGACCTTGAGGTTAGCAGCCCTACTTGTAACCACTACGCTGCCAGAGCGCCTTCATTTGTTAAAAGGCGGTTTAAATTGCAAGGCCAAAGGCTCATTGTGAGAAATGTGTAGTACCTAGCATAAATTCTTGCACCTTTATGTGTACTCAGTGGACATCTGGAACTTTAGAGTTAACTTCCTGTATTAGAAAGGTTGAAACCCATGACAATGAGCAGTAAATTTTAAGGTCATTATTTAGAGAATTATAGCTGTAGAAGAAAGTAAGGCAATTAAAGTTACGAAACTTTCATTTATTTGCAGATGATTTGTAGCTTTGGTGTATTTGGAGTGGGGCAGAGAAAAGATGGCACAGAAAATCCTGAGATCCCAGTCAATGGGAAAGTTATCTTCCAGAGTACACAAAACAGTCCCTTGGAAAGAAGAATGGAATAAAACCAGGAGATCTGAGACTAACTACCTAGGTAAGCCATGGAGCTCTCAGAGTACCATATTTTATGCAAATGATACACATTCTACCCCCTCCCACATTAGTTTCCTATGCATGCACTTTATATAGAAGAAGTGCACGTTATTTCCGTAGGCATGTTATAAGTGACAGCACAATGAGGCTTCTGGTAAGGATAACTTCTAAGGATCCTTTTTACCCATGATTCCATTGAGACCAGGTTGCATCAGGTTGTCAGAGTAGCACCTAGTAGGGCACATTATTTGACTGTCCACTAACTATGGACCTTTGGAGTTATGCTGTGAATACAACGAATTCCTTTTCTGCCTGATTACTGTGCTTGGTAAGATCTATTCGTGACATCAGATAGCAGCTTCTACTTTGAGAAACTGCTCCTGGAAATGTGAAATTGGCAGTTCTTCCAAGCCCAGAGGCAAACTTTGTCATTCTTTTGGCTTTAGAGAAGGTGCAGAGTCAGCGCCAGTCCCTTGCATCCTTTTGTCTTCTAAAGCAGCAAGGCATTTGGAGCTCAAGCCAATCTGGGTTGGATTACACAGATACTGTATTAATGCCCTTTGATGTCCCCTTCCCCAGCCAGGGCCCTAAATTTTCCTTTGAGGTCACTGGCCCAAATGACCTATTGACTGCCAGAGAGGCAGGCATTGTACTGCATAATTAAGATGCTGACAGCTGCTTCAGGGAAAATGTAAGCAACAAGAGGACGGAGTGAGATAGCTAAAGAAAGAGTGAGTGTAGTGTGTGTGTGTGTGTGTGTGTGACACCCATGAGCACAAGAGGGCTGGGGGTGGGATGGGGAGAAGAGAAAAGAAAAAGAAAATAGAACAGAAGAATGAGAAAAAGTGGAAATGTGGTCACTATGAGTCGGAAGCAACAAGATGGCATCGAGCTTCTTTTGGGGTTATTATCCTGAAGAGACTATGCTGTGAAATCATTTTAAAAAGACCATAATAAGAAAGACAACATGTTTTAAAGGTGGAGAAGCACCAGATACTTTGATCCTGGGACCTGAAAGAATGCAGAACTGGCCTGCTGGTGTTTACTCCTTGGCAGATAAGCCACTTAAGGACTTGATCTGCTCAGATACCAGGGTCAGAAAAGGAGGTTCAATAATACAACCTTGTTTGTGTTGAATAGATGTCAGCAGCGTTACTTTACATACCCTCGAATTATCTACATTGCACATTGATTTAATTGCAGGTAAATTCCATAACGTGTCCCCTCCAGCTGAAGTAAATACCACTCTGGAATACCGATCACCTGGTGATAGGAAGAAAGAAAACAAAAAGACTTAGAAATTATTCATTTATCTCATAAGGCGCAGCATTCAGAAACAATTCAAACTAGGAAAGCCACATTGACAATTCATTGTTGTTGTTGTTAAGTGCCGTTGAGTTGGTTCCAACTCATAGTGATCCCGTATAAGGTTACCAAGGAGCGGCTGGTGGGCTTCAACCAGCCACCTTGCAATTAGCATTTAAGTGCTTATCCTGTAGTGCCATACCATTAGCAGTGGGAGATCCTGTCCTTCAATGAATTCCAGAAGAAAATGTTAGAAAAAAAAAAAAGAGAGACAGAGATTAATGCTAAAATGGTCTTCTGATGTAGCACTGTATGATTAGTACAGGACTGAGAACCACAAGGTTGGCAGTTCAAACCCTTGGAAACCCTACACAGGGTCACTGTGAGTTGGAACCCTTGACAGCACTTAACAACAACAACAACAACAACAATGCTAAAATATTACCTTAGCTTAAAGCTACTATTCTCTACTCAACACATGTTAAAACTGTAGCAATTATAGAGCAATCTACTGTGGATCCATCTGTGATTGGGAAGAAGAATCCATAAGGACTTTCAGTAGGAGACATATTCAGTGTCTCACTTTTAATTTCAAAACATTACATAGTGGAATATAAAATCCAAGAATGATGCACTAGGGAATATCAAGGGCAGATTATGTGGATTCTCTCTGGCAGCTAACTAAAGAGGAAAGAAGACAGGTGATGGATTTCAAAGCACTATACATATTCAACTACATACAGAAAGCTGCCACAATCATAGATATCACTCACATTCTGGTAGAAGATTTGGTCTCTCTGGTACACCAGAGTCTAGAAAACTTACTTTGAAAATCAGTTAAATACAAAACGTGTTATTGAGTAAGGGAGTTTGTGACACACTGGAATGAGCATGGTCTTTGGAAGTCAAACCTGGGTGTCAGCAGGTCCTTTTATTTACTAGCTGTGTGACCTCAGGCACCTAATAACGTCTCTGAACCCTGGTATCCACGGCTGTAAAATGGAGACAGCAACATCAACCTCAAGCAGTTTTCAAAATAGATGCTCAATAAATATTGTTTCTGTCTCCTTGTTGTTGTTGTTGTTATATGTCGTGGAGTCGGTTCCGACTCATAGCAACCCTGTACAGGGTTTCCGAGGCTGTAAATCTTTACGGGAGCAGAAAGCCTCATCTTTCTGCTGTGGAACAGCTGGTAGTTTCAAACTGCTGACTGTGAGGTTCGCAGCCCGATTCATAACCACTACACTACCAGAGCTCCTTAGTCATTAAAAAAGACATAATATGAACCAAGTAAAACAACACAGATTAATTTTAAATTATTTAAAATGCTTTCACCGTGGTAACAAGGAAAATCCATTTGCAGATTTCTGATGAAAGCTTTATCATGTAAGGCTTTTACTCAGAACCAGGAAGTCTTCTGTAATAAACTCTTGCTTTTATCAGACTGCTATTATCTTATGTTGACTGATTTTGGAGAGCAAAACAAGTCTTGTGGAAATTGCAACATTTTCCTTTACATAGAGCCAGTACTAGCTTTAGTCAAGGTAGAACCTATTACTTAGGAGACAAAAATTTAGTATTGCTGACTGAAATACAAACATTAATTTCATGAATGCTAATATTCTTTCTGGTCAAGATAGTAACTAACACATGTTGGGTTGTTGTTGCTGTCGAGTCGGTTCTGTATAGGGTTTCCGAGGAGCAGCTGGTGAGGCTCAACCACTGACCTTCCAGTTCAAACCAACCTTACAGTCCAGCGCATTAACCTGCTGTGCGACACCAGGACTCCCACAGATGTCGGGTAAACAGTAACATATAGTTTTAGTTTGTGAGAAATTAATAGCCAGAACATGCAACTAACCAGAGTTCAACTTTTCTAACACAGTAAAAGCTGCGAAAGCTAGGCCCTATACAAAGTAGAAACCTATCAGAGAAGGAAAACTCACAATATATTCCACTACAGGGAGTTCCCAACTTATGACATATTTGAGTTATACTGTATTACACTTACGTTTTTGTTGTTGTATGTTTTATTATTTGTAATATATATTACATACAATATTGCAGAGTATAATTATTGTTATCATTCTCATGGCAACCCCTAAAGACAAATTAAGATTGGATTTACAAAGACATTGATAATAAAAGGTAGTAATAATGAAAACGAAAAAGAAAAATGGATATATTTGACTTCTATCAGAACCAACTTAGAACAGAATCCTGTTGTTAAGTCAGGGACTACTGGAAATAGAGAGCAATATAAAAGTAGCAAGACTGCACACTGTCAAAGGCAAAAAACTTGCAAGACTTGGAAAAACAAGGCAACCTTGCTGAGTTGCGGTTTTCACAGGTTCTACAGTATGTATTTTTTTTAAGAGAAGAGACAGAAACAGAAACTTGAATTGTTTTCTGGGATCCGTGTCAGATTCAGGCTAACTTTTATTTTTTCTTGCTCTAAAGGAAACCCTTTTGGATTGATAAGAGTCAGAAGCAACTTTATGGCTTAGTTTCGTCTGGTTATTACTAGACAGTGAGATAGTGTTCAAAGTAAAGACCTTGAGGCTTGGCAACATCTAGAAACATCAAGGATCCAATAAGGTCCTGTAGTTATCTAATAAAACAGACAACATTCAAGAAGGATTTTCAACAAGTTGAAACAAAAAGTTTTAGTGGTAATACTCGGTTAATCAGAAATTATAATTACACACTAAAACTCTTTACTCCTAATTACTAAGGTTAATCAATGATTTGCATGTTGTTGGTTGCAGTAGAGTTGATGCCAACTCATGGCGACCCCATGTGTGCTGCGTAGAACTGCTCCATAGTGCTTCCAAGGCTGTGACCTTTCAGAAGCTCACCTGGCATGACTTCCAAGGCACCATTCAGCGAGTCTAGCACTAAGCCATCTCAGGAACTCCTTATATTACACATAGTCAAACCTGCCAGAGCTGGAACTTGACAGAACTGCCTTGATTTTGTGAGTCCTTAAGTTGTGGTGCCATAGGATACGTACTCAAGCTCAAGGTCGGTTTGAACCGCAAGGTCAGCAGTTCAAACTCACCAGCCGCTCTTCAGAAAACTTATGCAGGATTGCTATGAGTCAAAGCTGACTTAACAGCACCTAACAACAAGAAGTTTGTGAATAATGTAAGCAATGTCACTGAACAATTTGAGTAGAAACTGTTGAATGGGAACCTAAACTTCTGAGTCAACCTTCACTGAAAAAGTTAAGAGTCTCGCCACTTTTTTAATGCTTTCTATTAGTGGGAAATATTTGCATTTTCCTTGTCTAACAAGTTTCGGCCTTATACCAGTTCCAGCTTTCACAAGTTTCACTGTATTTCCTCTAGGTCAGGAGCTCTTCTCTCCTGGCAACTGCAAAACCATCAAACTGACTTTCTAAACTGCAGCACATTTCCTTTTAGCTTGTACGGTGAATTTGTTGCCAACAGTTGGACACCTAGAGATTCCATTTTAAAATCTGTGCTCCTGGTCTCTGAGAAATTCTTGCAAGGCTCCAATCACCATACTTCCTATTGTCTTATCCCCAGCTAGCTTCACTCAATATTCTGTGCCAGCCATTCAAGCTTTGGACCCCTGGACTTTATTTTTGTTCTTCTTTCTGTTGTTAATGCTTAGTGCCAAAAGGCTCTTAAGACATGCTTTTTGAATGAATCTAAACTTATAAAATATAAAACTATATCTTTGATAATACAGATTGTTTCAGGATTCACTAAAAATGGACTTACTACTTGATCTAGGGTATCTTTTAAATAGGTAGCACAAGAATTTTCTTTTTCCTTTGAAATTATGGAAAAGGTAAAAATAATTTTATTAGATTTGTATCTTCCTTAGAACTGAATATGATTCAGTCATCTCTTTCTTACTGTTTTTACTAGATGTGGATAAATTCACATTAGTAGTTGACTGATTTAGTTGAATTAAGAGTAATGAAGCTCAAATCTCTTAACACACGACAGAAACAGTGATGCTCGGTGAATGTTAGCCACATGCTCCACTCAGTGTAGATTATAACTGTGCTCGTTCCATCGTAATTCCAGACAAGGGCAGTGGGATTTTTCATCTACAATGATGCGATGCCACTCACTTGGAATGTCACAGAAGAAGCTGTCTTTATGGAAGTCCCAGTCAACTTCTCTTTTCTCTCTTTCATAATGACCATCTGACCACCTGTCATCCCGATGGCTGAAATGGAACAAGAATTTGATCTTCAATAAAGCTCTAGCTGTTTCAAGGCCCCTAAGGATATTGGTTAACAGTACATATTTAATACTTGATGTTAAGTCACAAGGATTATATCTGAGGGTCCCTTGTATAAACAACACTGATTTTCTCACTTTTGAAAAAGGAAACCTTACCTTTTCACTCTAACACAAGCTCTTAAAAGACCATGACAAGTAAAACAAATCCAATGGCAAGACATTTTGAGTGCCACATTTTTTTTTACATTAATCTTTTTGTTCAGGCAGTGTTTAAAAGTGGAATTCATTAAACAATGCTTTGTCTACAATTAACATGAAAAAAATTACCTTTTGGCTTGCTCATCTGCATATTTAAAAGGATAATTTGCTAATGTTGCTTTGTATCCAGTATTTTTCACCATGTTATTCCACGTGACCAGTCTTTGGCCTATCGCAGTCCCTCTTGGTTCAAAACCCTAAGGCAAAAGATTACCAATTTCCATGAGTGTCGTTCATTTTCACTTCAGGCTCAGTGTATTATAATAACAGTTTGACAAAGCAACGTCAAGGTGATACATTGCTTTCAACAAAAACCAGAGATGTTCCTCAGACCTTTTCTAGAAATGAACTCCATTAAAACAAGATGACGGGAGAACCATCACCTATTTCAAACACTTCTGACTCTCTGCTATGTCACATGTCTCAAGAAAGAGGAAAAAAGCTTCTCAGAAGCCAATCTTTCTAATCCATCCCTCAGCTGTTAGCAAATAATTATATTTAATGAAAAAGTTATATTAAGTTATGCATGTTAGAGTCTTTTAAACAAGATTATCATTATACTGCATGCAAATGCATTCTTACCACATTATTCCACTTCAGAGTGCTCACAATTGGTTAAAAACAGACCCTGTTTGTTATCTATTAGGAATATTGACATTCTTTTAACTTTCTCTGGGGAAAAAGAAGGCAGTCTTAGGGACTTTTTTGAAAATATTTTTATAGTATTCAGATTTTCCAATTGTTTGGCTTAAACATGGGGACCAAGATGCACAATCTCCAGATTTCTGTTGGCAAGTAAATTCCTTAACCCTAAGAACCTGAGAATACAGGTAAAAGGTACAGCTTTAATTTTCATAAAGAGACTTATATACTTACTGATGGCTGGAGAAGGCTTTCAAAGAGATGGGGTATAGGCAACATGTATCAAAATACTTGCTTATCTGAGATGGCTGTGGAGTACAGAAGAAAAAGGAAAAATTCTAGTGGCTCAGTATTTCTTACCAGCAGTGGGTCAGAGAAGTCAGGAAGCTCTGGGACTAACACTCCCACCAAGGCACAGACCACAATAAACACGGTGCACATGCCCAAGACCACCACAGGCCAGTCTGCTAGCAAGGCTGCATAACTACAGGAGCAAAGAAAAATCACAAAGACCTGTCAGAACCAACATAAAATGCTTTCATTCCTAAGACAGCAACTGGTTAAATTCTCATTATTTAGGATCTCATACAGGAAGTCCTGGTGTGGTGCTGTAGGATAAGCACTGGACTGCAAACCTCAAGGCTGGCGGTTCAAACTTACCAGCCACTTCTTAGAAATGCTACCTAGGGTTACTACAGATTGGAACTAAGTCCATGGCACGTAACAACAATAACAACACAGGTACCTAGAGTCCCTGGTTGGTATAGAAGGCTATTCACTCAGCTATTAACCACAAGGTGGGAGTTTTTGAGTCCCCCGACAGATACCATTAAGTCGACTCAATGGCACTTCACAACAGCTACCTAGAAGAAAGGTCTGGTGGTCTATTTCTGAAAAGTCAGCCACTGAAGACCCTATACAGGGTAGCTGCGAGTCAGAGCAGACTGTGCCACATGCAATTCCTTGGGTTTGCTTTTGTCTTTATACGGGTATTTAACCTTCCTTTTAGCTACTGTCCTTTCTTCATTCCTTTCCCAGCCAAGATTCCTGGGGGAAATGTATACTCTCTATCTCCATTTCCTCCTATTTCATGTGCTCTTGGAAAACAACAACAACAAACAAATACAACTATATATATATATATATATATATATACACACACACATACATACATACATACATATGCTGTTACGGGAGGTTGAGTCGATTGCGACCCTGTGTAGTTTCCAAGGAGCAGCTGGTGAGCTTGAACCACCGACCTTGCACTTCAAATGACTTTGCAGTCTGACACATTAGCCCACAGCACCACACCAGGACTCCATGAAAGCAATATATTTGTTGTTGTTAAGTGCCGTTGAGTCGGTTCCGACCCATAGCGACCCTGTACAGGGTTTCATATATATATATATATATATATACACACACACACACACATATATATACATAGACACAAGAAAATTAGAAAGTGCAAAAGTATAATAAACATATACATTGAACTATGAGGGCCATGAGAAAAGAAATTTGTGTCTGTTTTGTTTATTGCTACATCAGTATCTAGAATATTAACTTTTAGATTTTTGTTGTTTGTTGTTAAGTGCTATCGAGTAGTTTCCAACTCATAACAACCCTGTATATGGTTTTCAAGGAGTGGCTGGTGAGCTTGAACCGCCAACTTTGCAGTTCAAACCAACCTTGCAGTTGGTTTTGCTCATTAACCCACAGTGCCACACCAAGGTCTGTAACTTTTAGATAGTGCTCAATAAGTATCTAGTGAATACATGAACAAGCACCTTTAGTGAACTACTCTTACACTTTCTAACAGTTTGGCTTTAGTCTCTTACTCCCAGCAAGAACCAGGTGCTGACTGACTAGTTGACAATGACTCATGGTAACTTCGTGTGTGTTAAGAGCAGAACTATGCTCCACAGAGTTTTCAAGCTGTTTTTCTTGTTTACAAGTAGACTGCCAGACCCTTTTCCTGTGGTGCTTCTAGTTGGACTCAAACTTCCAACCTTTAGGTTAACAGACAATTTGTACCATCCAGGGACTCTAGTGTCTTCCTAAGCCTCAGAAACTCTTCTCTGTGTTACCAAACCTTACAATCAAGGCTCTTTCTTCCAGACACCCTTCCTACCCTCTCATTCACTTCCTTCTTCTAAAAGATATGAACTCTTTCTAAAATTCTACCAACTTTAGGTATCTGACATCTTTATTAGAAATTGGGGGTGTATTTAATTCGTGGGTCACTACTCTCAAATCCTCAACGTTGTTTTGTTAGCTCATCTCATTGCTGTGATGGCTAAAATAACTCTTTCTAAAATTCTACCAACTTTAGGTATCTGGCATCTTTATTAGAAATTGGGGGTGTTAGCTCATCTCATTGCTGTGATGGTCATTTCTGGCTCCTTTGAAATGGGCTTCTTATTCCTGTATTTGTGTTGTTTCTTCAAAATCCTGCTAACAGTTACAAATGAAGCTGGCAGCTCTAAATGTCATTCTGGAAAAAGCTACTATATGACTCTAGGAATAGAAATCTGATTTTTATATTCTGATCTCTTAACTTCCTAGGTTTGACTTTGTGGCGTTTATGACCTTAAGCTACATCTAACTGTATGAAGGAAATTTAAACAGTGCATTTATGCTACAAGGAAACACTGCACAGACAGGTTTTCCTTGCTGTTCTTTTAATGTAGTCTTATGAAACTTCATCACTAATAAGAGCTAACACTCACTGAGAGCCCCGGTCACTCCTGGGGGGCTTTACACAGGCTGTCTCCACACTGAATTCTCACGACGACTTTACGTTAAGTAACATTGTACAAAGTCACCACTATGTTATCTACTCTTTCTTCAAACAAAAGACATACGGACTAACTCAACTTGCCACAGATGTCTGCTTCTCCAAATGCACGTTTAAAAATTAAATTCTTATGCTATACTAACAGTTAATTTCTCTAAAAAAAATTACATAGAGTCTCAGACTCCAAGTTTGATCACTGTTCAGTAGACTGCAAATTTTGGATATAAAAACTCATTAAGGAAAAATTATGCTAGTTAAGATGGAATAACCTTTTAGCAATTATTCTGAGTGGAATGAAAACACATAAATCATCACATGCTGATTGTGGTCAGAATGTGCATGTTTCTAGAACAAACCCAGTGTGAAAAAATATTCCCCATACTGGACTTCCTCCTCCACCAAACACAAAGGAGATTGTGGTCAGAATGTCCACATTTCTAGAACAAACCCAGTGTGAAAAATATTCCCCATACTGGACTTCCTCCTCCACCAAACACAAAAGAAGATGAAAACCACTGGATTCCAAGCAGTAAGCCCCTTTGTTTCAATAGCACATGTTAGACTTTCTATTCATTGCTTTGGACTTAAAATGAGTACTTCACATTTTATACCTTTAAAATACCAGCCTCTGAAATGAAATGGTCCCATGCTTATATAATAACTCATTGCACTTTATTTTACATGGATGACTTTTCTTTTACAATGAGCCAGAAGGTATGTGCTTTTAACCTACATACTATCAATAGAGGGCATTGGGCCCCAAACTGCTTAGTTTTCTTTCATTCTATGGTTCAACTTAGCCATATAATGACTTTTTGTTTTGTGTTCTTGAAAAATCTGCACACACATGCATTGCATAGCAACCTTGCCAACCTCATTCAATAACTGCTTTTCTTCTTTTTGAAAACATTTGGTTTTCATTTTGTATCCACCAACTATGTGCACTGACGGCATAATGAAAGTTTACGGCATGAGTGATTTCAGCACTTCTCTTCCCGACACTTTTAACCTTACCATATTACAATTCCACTTCCTCACCCAGCAGATGTTTCACATGCTCACTCTTCCTCCAGAGACTGGCTCATACTGAAGGAATGGGGTCACTACCCTGAATACAAAAAGCACTGTGGGGGGAAACCCCAACTACTCTGAGTAAATTTTACTCAGACATGTTTCTCTTAAATATCACACAATTGCTAAGGATATTTCTGCTCTTCCTGTTGTCACTGCTATAGAGTAGCTGCAGGCACCAATGGGAAACAAACATGAAATCTACATACTGGTTGTAATATCAAGATATAAATCTAACAAGGCCAGAAAACTGGAGATGTCAAGGAAATTAAAAATGACCTATAAATCTCATGACTATATTTCTTGTAAGCATGCTAATTCCATGCCTGTTCCAAGGCATATATTATACCTAAGTTTTAAAGTATCTGCACATTATTTGAAAAGAAAACCACATGTGAATTAGACGAATTTTTTAAAAGATCACTCCCTTCATTGTAATATGTTTCTATGCATATCATAGAAATCTGTCAACCACCTACACTAATTTTGTGAAACTTTAGTCAATACCACATCATTGTAAATGTACCTTGGTAACAACAGGCAATCACTTCCCAGTAAATGACAGTTTTCCCCAAGGCCTGATGTCCCAGATGCCTAAGGGCCTACAGCTCTATCCAGTAAAAGAGTTTCCATAAGCTCCTCAACAGGTAAAGTCTGAAGTAGTACCCAGATCTGAAGGACCCATTCTCCTTTTGGTAGGAAGAAGAAACAGAAGGAGCAGTAAAAGAGTGTGTTCATGGGTGAGTTGCAGATCTGAGCTAGGTATCTGCCTGACATCCTGGCCCATGTTACTGATACATGCTTACATCAGGGGAAGTCCTGCAAGCAGGCTGGTGGATTCTCAGACACCTTATAATAGGTTTACTCTGAAAATAGATCAGAAATAACTTATTAAAAACTCACTGCTGTTGAAACAACTGTTGGAGAACCTCAAGAGTTCCTAAGAAAGGAAGGAAGAAGGGAAGAAAGACTTACTAGTGTGCTAGGAAACAAATCAAGCTGGCATTTGGAGCAGGCTCTCAATAAAGGATACATACAAACCACTCTTGAGCAAACAAGGGAGGGGAAGAAAGATTAGTGGACGTTTGGGGAAAATATGTACAAAGAACGTTCCAGCAGCATGTAATGAAAATGTTCTTCAAAAATTGCTTACCCAAACAATTATCAGGAAATGTTGTCAAGAAATAGATTAATTAATATGAAGAATTGTGGGTGTGTGTTTTTATATGTCTATGGGGCTGGTCATGCTGAACTCTGTGAATGCAAACTATGCCCTTTTTCAGAACGATTTAACGCTCTACTTTCACCTATGCTGCCCAACTCGAGTTGCTATGCCTCAAAAAAACAAAACTCTTTGCTCCTACTCCTAACAGACTTTCTTCGTTGACATACTTGGTATCAGGAGTGGGGTACTGAAGGTGCAGTGCCTTCAGTGATTCCTGAGTTGTTGAGAACTTGGGCTTTGGCACCAGTTGAGCTGTATGGGCCCTCCATCTCCACTGACTCTCTGAAAATTTTCCAAGGTAAATCCAGGCTTGAATCCAGGCTCTGTTCTTTGGCATTGCAGTTTCTTTTGAGTCTTATAGAAAGATATGTTTTTGTTTTTACAAGTA